TATTACAGATAGGACCTATATACAATTATTTCATAAATGATAATTTTGATTTATGATTACATTAGATAATGTACTCAATGATTATTGTCTATATATACATATATTATACCTCGTTTTATACCAAACTGCAAAAAGAATTTTTTTTTTAAAACAATGAATTCGTTTTTCTTTCAAATTTAAATACAACTCATGTAACAAAGGACTTATATTTCAATTTTTTTTCTAGTAACTTTTTCTACCAATACATACTCTTTAGAATTTCATTACTCCATTACATCAAAGGATTGTGATTAACAAATTAAATGTTTATCCCAAAATTAAATGCTTAGCTTTATATAGTGTATACTTACTGTTAAAATGGTTATTATGTTATATTACTATAAATTGGGAAATTACTATAATAATAATGAAATATATAACAAAATATAGTTATTAAAATTAGTAAATAGATTTATATTATATTACATTATTACAATACTTAATTTTTAGTTGGAAAAAAATTGAATCAACCATTAATCTATGTAATAAAAGACAAATAAATAGAAAATATATTTCTGACTTTTGTATTTTTTCAATTGGGTATCAAATAAAAATAGGTTATCATGATTCATGTTTTATATTTTTCATAAAATTGTTCAATTACAAGTGAAATTTAAATGCAATTCTTGTTAATCTTGACATGAGGTTGTCAAAATGAGAATTATCAAATAAGAAAATTAATATAAAAATATAAATAATATTAAAATCAATAAAAATTACCCCAATAGAAAACAGAACTTAAACTTTTCAACCTTACAATATCAAATATGATTTTTAGTCCTCTATCCAGCCTAATCTTTAATTGACTTCAAAACTTATATTGATAAACTTTAAAACCGTGTTATTGATTTTAAAAACCTAAAAAAAAATTAATTTTTTTTAGATAATTTAGAACAAATTTTTATTATACATGACATAAAATTAAATTTTATAAGACCAATACTTAAGTATGTGAGAATTTTATTCAGTGTTCACAAATTTAATTATTTTCTTTCAAATTAAAATAGTAGTTTTCATCAATTTCTGTCAAAACCAATAAGAATGAAGCCATTTTAATTTCCATTTAAATTGATAAATGGCTATTCTATATTGATTTGTTTATACTTAAAATAAACATTTAATTGATTTTAAGAAACCCTCAGAAGAAATGTATAAAACATTATAAGAGGATGTAAATAACAAATGTTATATTAATGATAATAATATGCAAATTTATATATATTATTAATATTCTAAAATGTTTTTCTTTGTAAAATAATTATTACCATATTCTTATTTATTATATTTTAATAATATCAAACAATATAAGTTATATAAAGTATTAACACAAATTTAAGATAAAATCATAAACTCTTGCTCTATAGTAGATTCTGTTATTGGTAATTATAGATTCCTTTTAAGAGATTCTGTATCTAAAGAACTCTAAATAAAATAAAATATTATAATGATTATAAAATAAGGTAAAGCTATTTTTTATCATCGTTTTCATTGGTTTGGTTGAAAAACCATGATATTATTTAATAATTTTCGTGAAAGACTTGTTCCACTTTCATTTTTTTTTTTTAAATCAAGAAAGTTATTATTGAAGTAGATAATCATTTTTAGTCTTGTAAATGTATTTACTTTTATGATTACATTCGTAACAGTTTTTTTTTAACAGAATTTATCAGCTTAATTATATATATATGAGTATTATTAAAATCTATTTTCACAGCACAAGGTTCTATAAAAATATTTTATGTATGTTATAACTGTTAATTGTTTTTATTTGAATAAAGATATAATATATAAATATAATACTTAAAAATGATATTTAAAACTAAAAATATTGAAGTTCATTAAATATTCGTATTCAATCTAATTTTAATACTAAATATGAATTATGAACCCACATAATGGAAAATATAACTAATTTTTTTAGTATTGTAAAATAAAATTGTTGTATTGTATAATTTTCATATAATATATATATATATAAAAGATAAGATCAGCAGACTTTTTATATTATAGTTGGTAGCAAAATTGATCGTTATACTATCATTTGTTTAGTGATAAAAAAAAAAAAAAAAATAATGAATAAGTTTAAATTAAAAATTAAAATTTTAAGCTCCAAGGCAGGCTCCAAGGTAAAAAAAAATATCAGATTTGTAACACTACTTATGGATATAATTAAAATGAATTGTATCTGGATTGTATATTAATTGATACAATACACATTAGTGTTTTCACATATTATAATTATAATAACAATACCATAGAATAATAAAATAAAATACATATTCAAAATAAGTTACTGATCTATAAAGTTTCATTTTTATGATTTTTTAGAGTTAAATAATATTAAAAACTTATAAAAAATGTATAGGTATCTATAAAATATTAACTTAATAGAAAAATATTTATAAAAAAAACATAATTTGTTTCAAATTTCTTGAAATTATTAATCAGGTTATTACAAAAAATAAATTATTAAAAAAATTGAAAATAATATGAATACAAGTATAAATACTTAAAAAGATTATAAAAGTATAAATATTGAAATAGGTACTAAATATTTAATGCTATATATATATTTATAAAACATTTTCTACACTAATAGTAATGAACATAACTAATTTAACTTGAAACATTATCATAACCATTATAACATGGGGAATACCGTTTATGAAATAGTTAATTGTATATAAATTCAAAAAATTATTATGACAAATATCTAACTAATGACCAAAAAATTGTTATGTTTACAATATCTTATAAGTATTAGATGTATATAATATACATAAAATACAATATATATACAAACAGGGACTAGTAATAATAATTACATGCATTATGTACGGCTGCAATTATTAACTAACGAGTCATAATACGTTAAAAAAAGTTGTTAAAATGATTTAATCAATGTTTCCAAAATATTTCAATACTATAAAATAAAAAATATTACAGTCTAAAATGCAATACTAAAAGATAAAACAAAATTGTTAAATAATATAATACTAAAATTCGATTAAGGATAAAAAGTAATATATTTCAGAGAATTGGTTGAACTACTTTTGATAATTTTATGAGTTTAGAAGTGTATCAATATCAAGGTTCTAAAATGACCTTGCACAATATTTGGTATTTAATGGTATTTAAAGGTTATTAATGTAATATTCTAAGGGTTTTATAGAATATTATCAATAATTTAATAAAAGTATCTAGTTTAATACATTTTTTTTTAAATCACATAGAAGATATAAGAATGTATACATTATATATAATAAAATGCAAGATGTATTGTTTTCCTTGATTATATAGGTATATCTGTACTATAAAATAATTTGTTTAATAAGTTATTGTTATAAATATTATTTATTATTTTCTGTATACCTATTATTTGTTATTATTTAATATAATTTTAAAAAAATTTCAATTAACAACAACTATTGTCACTAATATATTGAAATTCTTCTATCCATAAAAAAATTGAAGGATTATATCTTTACATAATATATAAATATGTTGTAAATTATGTATATATTGTATATTTTATAGAAAATTATTATGTATTTCCTTAACAGTAAAGGTAATCACAGATGAAATAAAATTGTTTAAGTTATCTTTAATTTTTAAAAACAGTGGTAAAGCTTAGGAACAAAACTTTAATACTAATGTGTTTTAAGATATTTATTAGTCTTAATACTTTATAATCAATATAATGAGAAACTTTCTTAAATGTATTAAATTAAATTAAATTAAATGTAAATAAAAACTATTAAGATATTTACACTGAAGTTTACAGTCCTAATAAAATATATTTACTATTTATAATAAGTACCAAAAGGCTTCAAATGATCAATTGAGATGTCTTGAGTGTAACAGTCTTTTTTTTTAATGTATCCGATACACTCTCAAGACATATATTCATTGAAAAAATAGTTACATCAAAAAAATTGTTCAATCAAATTAATTTAATCAAGCAATATAATAGCTACATTATAATTCAATAAAAAGTATGTGAATTGTGTAATTTTACAAATATATTTTTTTATATATATTCTGTTTAAATAGGTATCTATATTAAGGTTTTTTGAAATATAATTGTAATATGTATTGACTTATGTTGATATCATAGATTTAGGGTAAATCAAATTTGGTTACAAACTGTAAACATCAAATCATATACCTATGTTATATAACAAAAATAATAATTAAAATGTTTACCATCCAATTCCTTTAAGTAATAATTCTAACTGTAATGATAAAATGAAGCACTCAATTTTTTAATTAGGTTATTTTAGAAGTTTGTAAAAGAATCTTATAGAAACTTTAAGTAAATAATATAAAAAAATATAGAAATATTTATTTAAACAGATATTAATTTTTTATTGTACATAATAAATTATTAAGAAATATTATGACAAAAGTAGTATAAATAATTTAATATTATTGAGATCATTAAAATTATAAAAGTTTAATTTAATATTTAGCTTAAAACCAAGTTTCATGGAAAGGATACTTGTGTATAAAAATCAAAGAAATATAAAGTACAATAATAGGTAATAGAAAATATTTATTAAAATCTAATTAGAAATAAAAATATAATAATACATATAGTTAATAGTAAATACCTATAAACAAGAACATAAATTATAAATAATAAATGACTAATTAAATATTTAATATGTTTGCATGCATAAATAATAATATTGAAATTATAAAACAATGTAAACAATAATTTAGTTTATTTTTCCATTCATCTACAACTGTATAAATTAAATTGGAGAACAGCAATTATCTTTTATATACAACAAAACATCAATAAAATTAATAAAAAAAGCTAAGAAGCAGCTACAAACTCTTAAATGGGTAATTCTTGATATATTAATCAATTGATTTCAATCATAATAAATGTTCACATAGATCTTCAAAAAACTCAGTTTAAAAAAAATTTAGTATAAAAACTATTAGGTACGTACCCAGAATTCTTGATCCTCTGATATTTCACGTTGAATGAGTTCACTAAATGATAGCTTACAATTGGCCACAAACAAGTCTTCAATGACGGCATCATGGAACACGGTAAGACCTAATCGGTTGGCTTCGTGTACGTCTTGTGTGAAATACTCGTTCCAAACAGGATCGTAGGTCTTAGGGATAGTGGCCGACCTAAGCAATATATTGTCGTCCACATCGATGCTGACATACGCGTCCAGCAATGGATCTTCAGGCTTCAAGAAGGACATGTTCTTGAGGCGAGTCTGCAGGTCAGTCGGTCGTAGGCCGGAAGCTTCACATAGTTTGATACGTATCGTGCCGGTGAACGTTTGATCCAATGGCACCAGTGGACGGTCGCCTCCGACGACGTCCTCCTTTTTGTCGACACTGATCATCGGGCAGCGTCGTTACGGTAGTGACGGTAAGAACGTACGACGTGTGAATTAATAGGAGTCGGGAGAGAAATTAAAAACGGGAGAACCACCGCTAGGCACCAGCCATGGTAGGTATTTCGCACGTCTAGGGCGTGAGACGACGATGCGCGGCCAACCGAATGGCAAACGGAGACCGTGCCTACTTACCTAACAATAAAAATAATTCCAACAATAACAACAGAAAATCAACAATTACAACAACGAGAAATGGAATTAATAATTTGTATTCGATTTTTTAACGGCAACGTGCGACCGCGGCAACGGCTACGACGACGACGAGGGAGACGGCGCAATAGCGGACGTTACGCACCATTGTGTGCCGCCCGACTAACCGCGGAGTGAGCAGCGAGCGCACACGGGGCTTCGTTGACGATGTGAAGTACGACGCGAGTGAACTGATAGTGGCTCGGACCGACATCAACCGCGAGCGCCCATTTTCGTAATGCTCTCCGGTCACATCCTTTTTCCTTCTCGCCGCCGCCGCCGCGTACTCACGTCACGGGCGCCGCCGTCACCGCCACCGCCGCCTATCGATATATTTTTGCGGCATTCCCCTACCCCCGGTCCCATCCGCCGGTCCATCGGCCGTCGCCGCCCCGCCACGACGGTAGCCGACAATCGGGAATTCCGATGTTGTCACCGTCGCACCCCTCCCACCACGGTCGACCACCCTCCGCGCCATCGTCCGTCTGAGCGGTACCGGCGGCTGCGGCGGTGGCGGTACACCGCGGAACCCCTGTGCCACTATCGGAGCGGATACACGATATCGCGTACCGGTCATCGATGTGTCCGCGTTTCGATAGCGCAGTCGTCGTCGAGGGTTACAGAGTCGCGCGGCTGCGGCGGCGGCGGCGTTGTAAGAACCGGGGCTAGGGCACAACGGGTAACGGCCGCCCCTCCCCGCCGCACCGCCGTCGACGCACGCACGCGCGCGTAACATCGGCCGCCGCCGCAGTAGTGACAACTGCCGCTGGACGCGCGCGTCCGGGGCGGCGGCACTCGGGTGTTTGATAATGCGAACATTACGAACAGCTGAGCAGCTCTTACCGTTCGCGCCGCGCCAGCGACGGCGGCCGCGGCTCGGGACGTCGGTCACGGCGGGCGCCACGGATTCCACGTAAAACGGCCAACGGCGCCAATTTCATTATGAACGGACATTACACAAAGACATAATAATAATAATAATAATATTAAACCGAAATACCTTTGCGGGAAGTTTCTCCGGTTTCCCGTAAACACTTTCGACCGTGTTTTTATTGCCGTAATATATTTCGTTATACTACCCGAAAATATATTTATATTTTTACGCGCAACATGGAGTGTCCACCACCCCGACGATTATGTTTCTTCAATCCGTTCATCCCGGGCCGCACATTGTTGTGTAATTATCCGTGTCAAGCTTCGCAATTGCGACTGATCGCCGGAAAGGAAATTATGTTCGTAAAAAAACAAAAACAAAAAACTAAAATCACAATACAATATGGTATATAGTGTTTCACGACAGGCTGACGGGCTGTAGAAAATAATGACGTTTGTTTTTGTGCGTGTATTCCCAAAAAGGAGACGAAGGGAAGTGTTCACCCCCTCATAACAATTTTTATTGTATAAAATTACACTCATTGTCAACAAAATAATAATGACCAACATTTTAATTTACGTTATACGTAGAAAGAACTTATAACCCCAAAGATAATAATTATTATCCACGGATAATAATCAAATCCGTCTGATTACATTATGTTCAGATTACTCGAAATGAATAATATTTATTCCGACGAATTTGTGTATCCATTTACTGCCTCCCATTAAAAACTCTCTTTGAACGCCTGTGTGTTTGGGTCTATTTTAAAGGGCTGTTGAGCGCTATTGTGTTTTTGAGAATTAGGTACTTTTGCGTTGGTATTGAAATTACTTTTTGAGCTGTTCGAAAACTATCTATATTCGATCAGCAAATTCATCAAATCAATGATTATGAATATAGATTATGGTAAAAGATATCAATAAAGCAAAAGAATAACGCTGGTTTAATGGCATATTTGAAGAAGCTATTAACATAAAATATCAAGAAGAAGAAAAACTATTAAGCGCCAATAACATCAAGTCTTATTAAATAAATACCTATACCAAGAAAAATAATTGTTTTGTATAATTGTTATTATTATATTAATTTTTATTACATTTTCAATGTAAATTAAAACTCACAATAAAAATCACTTTTAACAGATACACGTAGTTATACATAGGTAAATCGTATACATAATACGTGCCTAGTGCATACAAATATATATTGCAACAATGTGTACTCGTATAAATAGAGGTTTGTAAAATAATTGCGCTGTTGACGAAAATCCTTAGAACAGACCCTTCTATAACAATTGACGCGGTTGTTTTGTATGCCCATTAATAATGTAATGTACCCAAGGCCGGATTAAGCACCTATTGAGCCCCGGGGCTAAAATTTTATATGGGCCATTTTGATAAAACATGCTTTACAAAGCTGCTCGTTACGCTCGCAGAATGATACATTTTTTTTAACTATTTCACAAATTATCAATTGCATTATAAAATTATAAGATTAATAGATATATACAATTTATGTCAATAAAACTACTAATTTTAATATGATAAAAAATGTGTATCGACTTAAAATTGTTTGGGCCCCTTTCACTTGAGTACTCAAGAGGGTCCGGGGGCTACCGCCCCCGCTAGACCCCCCTTAATCCGGCCTTGAATGTATCATACATTTAAATCTTGTATTGTTATTAGATTCGATTTTGTTACGATTTCAGCAAAATATAGGAGTAACGGGATCAAGCGCGTATGCCGCGCAATTGCGCGTCTCGTTTATTTGCATTGTGTGCACGCAGTATGCTATAAGATAGGCGGACGAACTATAATTAATAATTATAGCGCCTATTCAATAATGGTAATTTCTATAGGCCCATCATATCATATTGTACTCGGCCGTGCTGGTGCGCGCTAGAAATTCGCGATGATTCTGTTAAATCGACTTTGGACAATGTCATTAGCGCGATAAAATCAATTACCAAAAACGCGTAAATATTGATTTATAATAATGTTCTTTCGTAATCTATATGTACCTTTATAAAATTTTAATAAACGGGGATTACACAATTGCGTACTTTTTTAAAAAAAAAAAAAAATGTGAATGTTCAATAAACACAATCGAAAACATGTTATTTTTAACAGTGTGTAAGTATACGGGTACTTATTATATACTACCTTTAAATTCAGAAGTTCATTCGCATAAATTCACATACTGGTACCATGGAAAATAATTAATTTAAGTTTGTGAACATTTATCATTCGTTTATAGATTAGAAGGCATACATTTGATGATCGATCTCTGCCAAAGAATATAAAAAACCCAATATTATGATTGAACTTACCTGTCTATTGTTGAAGAATAGTATAAATTTTAATTTATATTTTCACAACCTCGTACAACGCCGTACACCGGCCGCATAGTAGGTTCTGAATAAATAATTTTTAAAGACTTTTCTTTGATTTTTACTGCAATAACATGGTTTTTTCAATCACCAGTACTTTATCTCATTTTTCAATACAAATGATTTTATCTCGTATCGAAACTCGTTATAATTACTTTAATTATTTCTTCTTTTCTGTCGTAAAACGGATTCGACTTTATAAGAAAATCATTATACTTGGATTTCAATGCTGCCATACGAGATCGAGTCGTCGAGGAATCAACAAATTAATAGTATACTTTTTCTTCGTGCGGATTTTATTTCTACGCAAGACTACAGTAGTCACAGCTCTATATTAAGTACATCGAAATCCCCGCCTTACTAATAAGTAATAACATATTGTGATGTAGGGCAATTATTGTAGATATAGATGTATAAATGGTGGTATTAAGACTGAATCGTCATGGTTTCGATTTTGAAAATATAAAACAGATGTTGTTGAGTATTGTTTTTCTACGAAATAGTTTAAGAATGAAAAAGATGTACGACTTCAAATGTCAATAACATTAAAATCGAATTTATCCCTACGTTTATTTGAAAATGTCTAAATTTCTTTTAAAACATTATTTACTCCGTGTTGTATTATTTTTGAAAAAATATTGTGTACATAAAATATTTGATGTGCTAGTCTGTAGCAATAATAATTATTAATGGATGTTTGTCGATACAGGGACTAGAGACAACTGAAATAATAATTGTTACATAAATATCGCAATATTGAATTTTCGTCTCGTGTGTACAAAAGTAAAAGCCTCGGCCCTCAAGTCTTGTTCTTTATTTTTTGTAATGGCACTTAACTTCTTTCTTGTTGTCTTCTAAGTATTATATAATGTGAAATCATTAATTTGATACGTTATACGCGACCTATATATTATAGCAAGTAGATATACAATGTTATTTACCTACTTTGTAAAACGTCATCTTTCTCGAGAGTCAATTATTTTCTATGTTTAGTAGTTTTGATGGTTATATTTTATTCTTTTACTAGGAAAAGATACATGAAATGTCAAAGCAACCAACATTTTCTAAAAAAAAAGTTAACCGATGTACTTATATATTTAAGTGCATAATAAATTTATGAGTACTCCAAAGGAGTAAATGATATATAATCAATACAAATGAGAGTGGAAATTAAAATTAATGATTACTTAAATATTATAGTAACAATAACAATGAATATATCTTTTAATACTAATTTTCACGAGCCAAATATAATGAAATTCTTTTAAAAATAATTATAGTTCAAAGTGAACATTATTAATCGCTCTTTATATCCACTAAATAAACATTTGTTTAAAATATGTCATTGTAGAATTTACGGGTAATTTATAAAATACAATCACAGTAATATAGTTATATAAAATTTACACCAGATAGTGATTATTCACAAAAGGTTAGAAATATTTCAATCACTCTGAAATAAATATTTACAATATTACAGTTTATACGTATTCAAACAAAATGTGTTAATAATATATTAAAAACTAACAATTTTTTTCTACAGTTTTTGTGTCATGAAATATTTAGGGCTTTTATATATTATCGTGTATTAATAAAATTTAATTTTCCACCATAAACACACAAAATTATATATTCTATCGGAATTAATGCAAATGAAAAACCATTCTAGTGTATATCACTTTATACCTCGGTACCCATAATCTGAAAAATTATGCGTGCAAAGTTTCGTTATATTTACATATAATTTCTGTGTTCAATTTGCAATCTAAGGACGTACTATAAGAAATTATGTATACTATTTTATCATCCAAGTGTTTGTGGAAAATAAACATCATTACTATACTATTATACATTCTTCGGTGTACTCAGAATTGAAAACAAATACTGCAGATTAAATTGTCTAAGAGAATAGCAATACGAACTGAGTACATTACAGTTGTATTCAATAAGTGAGAAATCCTTAAATTACATTCGGAAAAGCGCACAGTATTCCAGATGAGATAGATACACTACATTTTATTCAGAGTTGGTCACTGACAGTTTTCACCGTATTATAAAAAAAAAAA